CCCCAAAACCCCAAAACCCCAAAACCCCTTTAGGAACAAGAGCGGCTGAATAATAATATTTACGGTATAATGGAAGAAAGTGATGTTAAATTAAGACGAAATCCTCGGAGTACAAACTCAGGTAGCAGCTATTCCTCCAATACGTGTGCTTCAGGAATGCATACAGAATCCACATCAGGTTGCTGATGGAGCTTCTTTGGTAAAAGAGATAAGTCAACCGACTTCACTAAGGTTTATAAGAAGGATGGATCAAAATGGATTAAGACAATCACAGAGCACCTCAAAGATATCGCTAAACGTCATGGCGGTATCAAGGAGGTTCTTAATTATATAAAAAATAATCGTAAATAAGTTCAAAACTACACAGTTTTATAAAGATTTTCATCAAAAGCAGATCAATCTCGAAAGCCAAGCCAAAGGAAAAGAAGAGCGCAAGATTTATCAGAAAAAAGGCAAAATTACCAAAGGCTCTTATCTTGATGAAGAAGATATTAGCCAGATCAGCAGAGATAGTGAGAAGTCCTCCTCTGATGAATCCGATGAAGGTGGTTATAAGAACATGGAAATCAGAGATTCCATTGTGGGAGGTCAGATGAAAGAATGTCAGCTTCAGAAAGGAAAAGTCACCAGTACTTATCTGATGAAAGCTCTTACCTGTGAGTTTGATGAACCATCTAGAGATAGTATTTTTCAGGAAGGTGATACTCTCAATGCTTTAAATGATAAAACCGGTTTGATTTTTAAAATAATTAAGCATCAGCTGAAGAAAGATACTCATCCTATTCGGATGATTGTCAAAAGCTTCAGCAAAGCTTTTGTTAAAGAATACCTTCACTACGTTGATAGGTCAAAGTATGATTCTATTCAGCTGTACGAAGAGCTTGAGCAAACTAACCAAAAGTATTATGCTCAAGTAAAATAATGGAGAGAAACTAAAGGAGCTTCATACAATGAAAAGGAACTCAGAAATGATAGGTGATATTCAGAAGGCAGATAACACAAAGCTTCCAGAGTATTTCCTTAGTAAGCAAGTTATACAAGATGTCAAATTTTTCATTGAGCAAATGTGAAGCACAACTATCGAGTTCTATTATCCTGTAACAGATGAACAAGACTTAGTGGATATGGAAGACGAACTCCATGAGTGCATCACTGATATGACTCTATCCGGAAACTTACAAGAAATAGTCTTTTCATTCTGCAAGCTTGAAACTGAGACAAGGAGAGATCGATTGAAGGACAAATATAATGAGTACATTAACATTCAGCCCCAACATGTTGGGATAGATGAAAAGTTTACTTTGAATGAAGCCTCTCCTATCCTACAGATTTATGATTACCAAATTCAAATGAAGCATAGGATTAATCAAAGTCTCTCAGATATGGATCAAACCCATGAAGCAGAGTGAATTGAATACTCTCTTAATAGCTCAAATTCTGGAGATGAATACGAAGATTCTGAAATCAGCCAAGATCAGTACAGAGCAGAAAAGGTATTTATCCCTGTAAATGTTTAGGATGTATCTGGATCAGTCGATATCGACAACGAAAACTCTAAAGATGATAACTTTATTTATCAAGAGAAGAAACAGAAAAGGCCTAAAAGTAAGCAAAAGAAAGCGAAGAAGCAGATCGGTAGATCCAAAGAAATGGTACGTCTCAGTAGTGATCTTTAGTCGGAAGATCTGAATGTTGATCACGAATTCAGTGAGAGAATCCAGAATTTATCTGTTTCCAATGCCCCTGCGAGGCCGAGATTCTATAGCGGAAAACGTGAAGAAAACAAGATGCCTACACTTGAAGAAGTGAAGGAAAGGATATGCCAGAAACCTTACCATCAAGCTATCACAAAATTGAGAGAGATTGAAAACATCAAGGAACCAGGAAAGAAGCTCAGATTAATGAATCAAGTTAATGATTTAATACTAAAGTGAATTAACGAGTTCTGGAGAGACTTAGATATAGATGAGAGCCAACTAGTAATTGCAGCTGACCAAATGGTACTTATTTACCTATATATTGTAACTAGAGCAAAAATTATTGACTTCTTCGCCAACATTAAGTTTATCACCGAGTTTGTTAGTAAAGAGACGAGGAAAGGGAGCAGAGGCTTCTTCCTTGCAACCTATGAGACGTCTCTATACACACTTTTGGATAATAAAAAGGATCAACTTGGAAGGAAAAGTAGCCCGATTGATATCCCAACAAAGCCAAATATGGTGGATGGTTCAAGAGATGAGGAGTGTGGCTTTATTGACAGTGGAATTGATGCAAGGGGATCTCTCATGCCTAATGATTTATACAAAAGTAAAAGGAATGCTTTTGTAGATATTGAAATCAACGAGTCTAAAAACTATTAATCATCTAATACTATGAGAAATTTTCATCTTCAAAAATGCTCAAATGAAAAGGGGTTTTGGGGTTTTGGGGTTTTGGGG